CACTAGAGCAGTTCAGTCGGTCAATTTAATCCAAAACAGTAAACAAATTTCAGAAGAAATGGAGAGCGAAAAAACAAAGAAGAAAGCGGTGCGGATCGGAGACTGTAGGACACAGGAGGAGAGCGATAAATTAACAGAGGAGGAGATAACTGAGACTACTTTTCATCGAACGTATAGGATAAGGAGAGGAACGCTGGATAAATTGGGATCAGACACTTTTGAAGAGGATAATTGTGCTGCACGAGCAGTAATGTGGGATCAGGACGCAGAGGAGACGAAAAACTTACTATCCATTTGGGATCTAGTCAGTAAAGATCAAGAAATGTCGGGAAACATCAAAGAGCTGGAGGCGGCAACACAGATGGTCACGAGTAGCCCAAGATCAGGTACTCGTTCAGTTTCACCAACAAAATCTATCATAGAAGTGGAATTAACCGCGGAGGAGGACGATCAGAGTCAAGAGGTCAGTGAAATTCAACCATCGAGAAGGATCAACAAACGACAGACTCAGTTGGAGAACTCATTGGCAGATATGGGAGATATCGGCAGTTTTAGCTTGTCTAGATTATTTGACAAAACGCTGTTGGCCGAACTCATCTCTGAAGACGTGTGGATGGACCGGTTGCGACGCGTAATAGAGAGGAAGGACCGGGCAGGATTTGAACTCATGGGCCCGTATACGAATCCGCTGTGGAATCAACTCTCAGTAATCGATGACTGCATACTGGTGGACAATAGGATAGCAGTTCCAATACAACTTCGTCCAGCAGTTATGAAGCGAATTCATCGGGGACATCCGGGGCAAGAGGCAATGCTTGACGCGTCGAACTGTTTGTGGTGGCCCCACATGCACAAAGATATTGTGAACTTAGCGGAGGAATGTAGAGAATGTGCACGCTATGGTAAGAATGCAATCTAACGGGACTGGAGGTTCAGTTAGATTACGCGGGACCCTTAAAAGATTATAAGGGGAAGAAAATCTACTTGCAAACAGCGATTGATCGTTATTCAAAATTTCCTTCGGTTAAAGTAACAAAATCAATGGGGGGAAAATCCACTATTAAATTCCTACGGTCGTACATAGATACGCACGGAATCCCAGAATCGATAAAAACTGATCAATTCTCTGGATTCAAAGGAAAAGCAACGAAAAAATTCTGCCTCGAACACAACATAGAGCAAAAGTTCTGCCCGGTGGGTGACTATCGCGGTTGTGGTCTAGTTGAAAAAAAAATACAAACCATAAAAAGGCGTTGGGGGTGATGCTACTGGAAGAAAATGGAAAGTCAATTAAACTATGTCTCAGTACGATAATTAGGGACATGCGGTGGATAAAGCAGAAAACCATTCAGAAATCACCGTTTGAAGCACATTTCGGTAGATTACCAAAAACAGAGTTCAAACTTATACGAGAAAAATTTGTAGAATTCTCTGATCATTTAGATAAACAGCATCTGGAGAGGTCGGCATTAACTGCAATTCAACTAAAGAAGAGGATTGACCAATCTCGGGATTCCCTCAAAATCGTCAAGAGGGGGCAGAAGAGCCGGGATATCAGCCCTCTCTTCAAACAGGAGAACATGTCACAACAGGAGGAGAACAGAGCAAGAACCCTCCGGACCCTGTTAGAAGCCAACGCCAACTGGAATGCAGAGCGGCTTAGATATGACGGACCCAGCCTACAACAATTAGTGGACACCACAAGCAATATCGACCCAGATTTGCGGGAAGAGCTTCTATATTCATGGGAGAAGGGATTCGTCGAGGACAAGCCAAAGAGGTCGGAGTGGAATGGTCACAACCTCAGCCGTAGAGACGAGACAAGAAAAAGTGGGGCGGCACTGACAAAACCGTTCAAAGGAAAAGTACTTTTCGATTCACCGAAAACAGTGACAACCGCTGCGGGAGCAGTATATCGCAAAAGCGATCTGGCAAAGATGGCGAGTCCCACTACGAAGATACCCAAGGATGGGACAAGCCAAAAGGAGAAGGCAAAGAGTCCATTTGAAGAGCCAAAGAGTAAGCACCAAAAGAAGAAAGACGAGCTAGATGTTGACATGGTATCGGAAGAGGAGGAGTTGAACATATCGAGTGAACAGGTAAAGGACCTCTTCCAGGATAGCGAGACTGTAATCACATCGCGGGACTCATCTGTTGGTGGGGGGGGGGGCTCAATTTAGCAATAAAGCGAGCGAAGCCAAATCTCGGGGGTCCAAAGTCAGCTGGACCAAAAACACAAGAGCAGGTGGCATTAAACCCGGGGATTCACAGGATAAAAAGGAACGAACAACCAAGCCCAAAGGAAAATTGGACAAAAAGAAAGCTGCTGTAACAGCAGAAGAGGCCAGAGCACCAAAACAAAGAGAAACGGTGGACCAAACTGATCAACCGAGCAGTTCGAACCCATAGCTAAACAGTCAAAGAAACGCATAACAAGGGACACTTCACCTAGCTCAATTTTGAATGCGTTTCAAAACCAGGACATGGGAGCCGAGGAATGGCAAAGCCTCGCAGACCAAGTGTTGACAAGTAGTCTGCAGAAGACGGCGGAAGAAATAATTAAATCAAGAACTAAAAATCAAACAGAGACGACAGGCGAACACGGATCTCCGACCGGAATTTCGGATGATTCAATTGTAGATGAGCAAGTGGATACGAACGTGAGGCGCAGTAAGCGAGCCACGAAAAACCAGGAGCCAAAAAGACTGGGTAGCCCAATTAAACATTCGGTTAAGTGCATTAGTGCAGACGAGGAAGCATACATAAATGAATTGGCTCTGGAGCAGTATCGATACGGTCTGGCAAATGTAAAGACGGATAAGAATAAGCCGATGGAAACCCGCTTGAAGCTTCTAGAACGCCACTTATTTCGGAAAAAGTTTGGATATACCGCACTGGACACGACGCAGCCGTGGAGTACACAGTGGAAAGTGCCTCTGGAGATTAAGAAATACTCAAAATAGAATGAAGGAAAACGGAAAAACTTAAACTAAAAACAAAACTCCTCCATCATCAATGGGATCACAAAACTGAGCTGAAAACTCGTATTATTGATATTTTTTCATAAAATTTATATGTATTAGATAAAATTTTATTGGTCCTTGGGGGAATGTGGTACTGCGGCGTTAGCAGTAGGTAACCTTGAGGACAGTTTGTTAGCTACTGCATCTGCAGTAACCATATGTGCTAATTATATTTATTATGTTATTATTATGTAAGAGTGGTCAAGGCCATTTGGTGATGCTAAAATCCTGGATGAATTGGTCAGTGTTTTCATATTACAGTGTAACGAACAGTAACCAATCTCAGCTACGAAATTTTGTTAACAAGAATCAAGAACATTGAATTAACAGTATCTATCTTTACTTTTATTCCATAACACGCTACGCAGTTTGGGAATATCACAAGCAGGATAGTCGATGAGGTCTGCCGATGTGCCTGAATCACAAACCTCGCGCCAGCATTTGAATCCTGTTTAGTTTTTGTGTCAGTTTCTCAAGTATATCCAATTTTGTAAGAAAAATATGTCTGGACTACTTTATATGATGGTTTTCATAAACTTTTTAAAAATAAATCAATCCGACGCTCTAACTTTTAGGTCAATTGATTATTATGAAATTTGTAAAATTAAAATGTTTTTCTTTCCGAACATTTTTCAAAAGTGTTCATCTCCTTGGAAAATTCTAGTTTTTAAACAAAAATGTGATCTAATTTGATGCGTGGTTTTAATTAGCATAAAATTGTTGCTGAGTTGAATGAAGGCGAAAACACAAAACTGTTTATTTTTTTTCATGCTTCAGAAGAAGTCGACAAGAAGTAGGTCATCGATTGGAAATTGAAGGAAAATTTTTGGTTAACTGCCAGGAATCCCATATTTGGCTTGAACTCTTCTCTTTAAGTACCTGGCAGGACTTCTAAAGTGTTCTCCTGGCTATGTAACCCGAGCTACCTTGAACACCTCCTTTCGTACTTTCTACGAAGCTAACGTTTGTTCGAATCAGATCGAAGCGCCAAGCCACGCATAATAGGCAGTTTTTTGCGTGAAAACTATCCTAAAATGCTTAAAACATCATTTCCGGATTTTTTTTGAGGCGGGGAGCCTTCTACTTAAAAAAGCGCGATAACTTTGTTTTTACTAAGAGCATTCATCGAAAAAATTCTAGTTTCGCTCTTGTTATTTATCAAAAGTCTAAAATTCGTTGATAAAGTTTTTATCTTGTAACATATACAGTGCTGATTTAAATTATCCGGACAAAACGAATAAAACTTGAATTTTCAAACGCATTTTTCTCAAATTGGGTTAACATTAGACAAAAAGTGAAGAGAACAAAAGTTGCTTAGAATTTCACCAGAATTAATATGGTGTTATTTTTTCTCCGAAATTCTTAACAAAAATTTTACCCCAAAAATGGGTCGATTTGGCTTTTTTCAATTAATCAAGAATTACGCTGAAACTACTTTGTTAATTGATACGAAAATTATATCACAGGAAGCCTCTTACGCAGCTCAACAAAGTTTAAGAAGGGTTAAATCTCCAAAATTTGCGCAAATTGTTTAAAATTTATTTTTAAACAGAGATTCTGGGTTTTATATAGTAAAAATCACATTTATTGACTATCAAGTGAAAATTTTTTCTCTTATACTGGTTTTTGGAGATTTAACCCTTCTTAAACTTTGTTGAGCTGCGTAAGAGGCTTCCTGTGATATAATTTTCTTATTAATTAACAAGGTAGTTTCTGCGTAATTCTTGATTAATTGAAAAAAGCCAAATCGACCCATTTTTGGGGTAAAATTTTTGTTAAGAATTTCGGAGAAAAAATAACACCATATTAATTCTGGTGAAATTCTAAGCAACTTTTGTTCTCTTCACTTTTTGTCTAATGTTAACCCAATTTGAGAAAAATGCGTTTGAAAATTCAAGTTTTATTCGTTTTGTCCGGATAATTTAAATCAGCACTGTACATTCATATTCTTTTATTGACTCTTTGTCGATTTTTTAGACAGACACGGAGCTGCCTGAGGATTTCTGGGGTGGGGACGAAGTGATCTGCTGGGAACCCTCGAACGAGAAATTCAATCTGTTCCCCACTCTCTCTATATCTTTTCTAGGTACAATATGATAGATGGATGATCTCAAGATAAACGATAATCAACCTTTTAATTACTTGTGAAATTAAATATCTCTGAATTAGATATTTATAAATTGGGGGAGCGAGGGTGAAGTGGTTACGTCTCCGCTTCTAAATCGGAAGGTCTAGTGTTCGAGGCCCACCATTGCTCCAGTGTTCTCGTTGCTTCAGGGTGAAGCAACACTACCCAACCCAGAAAAATAGCCAAAAAAACGCATGTAAATTTTAAGCAGCAGCACAACAGCGGCTCAACGCAAAGAGCTGAACAGCACGTATGTTTGTTCTTTTCCTTTGGGATATACCATCTTTTATCCCAATCTTTTAGTTTCAATAATTAGCGAGATCGGTTATTAATCACTAAATTGATAGACCGAAGCTTTTTGGGCAAGTTTTTTTTTCTGGTAAAAAAACTCAAAAAATTCATCCAAAAATGACTTAATTTATATTTTGAAAATTAACTGGCATACAAACTACATAATCTAGAGTGTAGCCATCATAATTGATTCAACAATCGGTGTTCATTTTGGAACTCATCTATCATATTTTCAACTGCCGTGTAGACATCACATCAACAAATTCTACTCCGACTTTCTTTGACGTCACAATTGTACCTGAACAGTACTTGAGTCCAGTTGTTTTTAATGGTCAAACTCTGACACCAGAATCGAAGTGCTTCAGGCTTTCAATCAGCCGATCAGATGAAGGTCAGTTATCATTTTTACAACAATAAAGAAATTTAAATGAATGGCGAGTCTCTTATTAAAAACAGAAATATAAATAGTACCCCGATTTTTGCTTCATTTTTTTTTACCAGAAATATTGAAGTTTTTAAAATCACATTAAAAAAGTAAATTACATATTGTCCTTGAAAAAATTTGGAATTTGAAGTTTTTCATTTTCTGGAATTTTTATTTTTTTTGTGTGTTTCAGGAACTGTTTTGGGTTCAACTTTCATGGAAGGATTTTACGTTAAATTCGATCGAGCAAACAGTCGGATTGGATTCGCGGTGTCCAAGTGCACTCGCTATGCAAATCTCGACAAACCACCCGCTGTGAGCGAGATTCGAACCCTTGACGTGTCTCAAATCGGGAATAATTACAACCCTCCGTTTGACTTGCTCGAATGTAAATTTAACATGTACGAACCCGATGAAAGGCCGATTTTGATTGCAGCTTACGTTTTGATCAGCATTGCTTGTTTGTGTTTGTTGCCCATAATCGTGACCTTCGTTCATGGACAATTTATGGAATGCAGAGACAATGATTACGACCATGATTCAGAAGATCGTGACCAGTTAGTGAAGTGAACCATGTATGGCCAGAACCAGAAGTGAAAAAAAAAGTTTGCATCAGTCATAATATGGAAAATAAAATGGCAAAAAATTCTCAAAATGAACTGCCAAAAATGTGTAAAATGGTTTCGAGAAAGTGATTTATTTTTCGACAAATGTATAATTCTTAAGAATGATTTGATTTTGAAGTACTTTAATGAAGTAACTTAACTTCAATTTAATCTAGTTTAGATTATATTTATCTCTATGAGGATCAAAATTTACTATTTTCAAATAATTTTCGAAGTTATAATTAATTTATTTGGTTTTGAAATGTATTATAGAATCACTTATTATAGACGACTTGCATTGTTTATCATTTGATGAATTTAAGACAAGGATGTTTTTCAACAGCAGTATAACTCTTAAGAAAAACCTTAAAAGTTTATTTTGCTCAAATGTAGTTTAGATTAACTTAGATTTATCTACATGATTACTTGAGGATCAAATTGTTGTTACCCGCATACCAGAGTTAAAAATTAAACATGATTTTTACAATTTATAATAATCGACTAATAATTGATTGTACAATCCTGTTTTCATTCTCTCTTTTTTATTGAGAGTAATGAATGTAGTGAGTACTCTTATACAGGTCTTGGAGAATTTTTGGTTAATTTCTCGTGGAAAAATCCAAAAAAATTTTCAAGCTCAAATTTTTTTTTTGCGATTTGATTTTTAATTTATTTTTAGGGTCTTAAGCTCCACTATCGAACAGCTAAAAGTGAAAATCACTAAAACGTGGCCGACTTCTTGGTCTAAAAGTTTTAGCTTCCCAACCAGTTTTCTCAAATTGGGTCAATTTTATTTAAAAACAATTTCATAAAGAAGTTGTTGAAATTCAAATTTTTGGGCATAATTTTTTATTGTAAATCAAAAAATTTAAATTTTAAAAACTTTAAGTCAGTTTTTTTTTCGGTTTCTTTATTTTCATGATCCTTTCTCAACATTTTAACCAATTATATTAGGTAAAAGTTAGTACTTTTGAAGATAAATTTTCTGCCGATTCTAACCAATATTGTAATTGAATAATTTTCAATATCAAACACGAAATTATTTAATCCACAATTTTCTATTCTGATATGTCTAACCCTAAGCATCATGCTTTTTATTTGTTTGTTTTTTCATTCTAGGTGTGCTTGCTATAAAAAATCTTAAAAATAAGCAGCAGTCCAGTCTTCTGGGAAAAAAATTATTCAAAATAATTGCTCGGAACTGGAAATACTCGTAATAAATGGCTTCCGGGAATTTTAATTGAAATTTGAAGATAAATCAAAAGTCAAGTACAAATCAAATTTCCAAGTACAATTTTTTATTTTGATGGGTTAACGATGACAAAAATATTCATCCTAGAGAAAAACTAATGAGTTAGGGTCGAGTTGGTTAACTCATAGAGTAATTTCGGATAGGGTACACCGTCTGCTCGTCACGCTATCTTATTTTCGGCCGGATAGATTCGTGCAACTTCTTAGTCTAATACCGATCCTAATCTTACTCTTATACTATCTAGTCTCAGGTTGTTTAACTAGTCTCTGCTAGGCTCAATAGATCTAGGGTATACTGGTTTATTGCGGCTACTGAAGTGCTCGGGAGAGTCCAACTAATTTCTAAGTTAAATTCAAATCTCTCTGGTGCTGAAATTACAAGTAACTTCAGCACTTACAAATAAGTGGGTTGTTAGTTAGATGGATCATGATTGGTTAATATTAAATACTTTACATTGGTAAAATATCTAACTTATCCAATCATAAAATGTAGTTTAGATCAGGTTCCACCCATCCGGGTTTTACAGAGTTTTTTAGAATAGTTCTTCTGCAATTTGAAGGATGGATGATGGACGTTGGTTTTTGGCGAACATCATTTTCTTCCGTTTCCTCTTTGTTAAAGAAGTTCCAGGAAGCTGGAGTTAGAGACATAAGACGTTGTGTCTTCTAGTGACAACGACTAAGTCTTTGCCACAAACTCAAATCTGATTTCAGAATGGTTGGCTATGTCAGGTTTTTCTGTTCTGCGTGGAGAACTTCTTTTGTGTCTGATCTAGTTTGGGAATGGCGTGGAGATTGTGCGTGGAGGGGATGCCTGGTTACTCGGATCTGTACGTATACTTGAACATCGAGGTGGTCATTGGTCTAGTTCAATGAAGTCCTTTTCTGCGAAGTCAAGTCGTACTCTAAATCCTTTGAGTTGTGATTGTGAGTGGCATATCGATTGTGGTTGGTCATTCTCTCTCGAGTGTAGTGGGATCTTTAGATGTTCGTCCTTGGTGTTGTATTCTGATCTATGTATTGCATAATGTAATTTACATTTTATAAAACATTTATTAGTTTAATATTTTTTAATTATGATTTTAGTTAGTTGTTTTCACAAAAGCTTTTTGTTTTAGTTCGGTTATTTTGAAGAGTTACTCACACTTGAGTAGCTCTTATTAAAAATAGAGATGTGGTCACAAAGCGTGGATGTAGCGCGGTGGGTTAGGCCGGCTATAGAGCATGCTCAGGACGTCCTTCCTGGTGGGTTAGGCCAGGAGTGGGAGTATGATTTCATGCGGTTTTTGTGAGGGGTCCTGTTATGTGACAACGTTTTATGTTGGGTTTGTTGTGGTTTTTCTTATGTCTTGTTGGTTATGTCCTTTTTCCAAAAATCAAATTGTTTGTGGTATGGGTTTGTCTTTCGACTTTTTTGTGTTTTATTATTTCTTTCTTAGACTTTATAATAGTCTTCAAAAGAATAAATTATCCAGTTTTAAACTGGGTTAATCCGGTTTGGGTACCGTTGGTTTCCTTTTCTTAGTCATGCTGTTATTCTATGATTTGTGGTATTTAGTAAGCTGCGTTGGTTAGTTTTGTTTAGTATATGATTCCTTTCCAACCGGGTTAAAGGAAAGTTTGAAACATGTTATTATATGTTAGAGTTGTTGAGTGTGAAAACTTGAAACTGAAATTCATTATTTTAAACAATTCTTCGTGGGCGAGCTGTGCGAGTGTGGATAGAATTTCTGTGCGAATGAATGAAAATATCAAAAGGTTAGTACTGCAATTGCATTTTATTAATTTACTGCATAGAATTTGGAAATTTACTGCTAGTTATGGGGGAATTTTAAGTTACAAATTTTCATTATAATTAGATTTACTGCTTGTGGGGAAAATTTTAGAAATGAATTTACTGCATTGGTATTATATTTATAAATTTATAAGTGTAAGAGATTAATAGAATTTTTGAAATCTGTTTGATGAAATTTGCGATTTTTATTTGTCTTTTGTGGTTTTTGTAGGTGATTGTCGGATGAAGGCTAAAAATCTAAAAAAAACATGGATAAAGTATGGTGAGTTTTTTAATATTTCAATTAGTTAGTTATATTCATTTAATTCATACTTACCTGTTAGTCGTCGGGGAAAAAACCGTGGGGGAAGATGTCGTGAATTAGTTCTGAAGTTGTTAGTAGTTTAGCTAAGATGCGGATGATATTTTTAGTCTGAAGCAGTGGCCAAAGCAATTGGAGTGCCTTGATAGTGGTTAGTTCTTCAGTGCCAACTGCAAACTCATAAGGTGTTTTTGGATTAGATTATATAATTTGTGATTGAATTTAGTGTTGTGGATGAATTCTAAAATTGGGATTTCTATAGGTTGTACAAACTCGTGCGGGATAAGGAAGGGTCGGGATTCTTCGGCGTTGAAGGTCTTGGTGATGGGACAGAAGATGTACATTTGGGTTATGGGGTCATAATTACGAAGAATACCATGAAGGTTAGTATCTTTAATGCAATATGTGAAATTTAGGAAAAATGGTGAAGTGTATTTGGAATTAATGAATTGAAAACGATGGTGTGGTTGTCTAGAGGGTGTGTGTAGGTCAAAGTGATTTTGGATGAAGCGATAATAACTATATGTGTGGGTTTGTTTAGTGCGCAACATAATATCGTGTGAGCAGTGTAAATCTCTTTCGTGTGGTGCAAGGAAATGAAAGGTTAGTGAAAATATTTGGAAGCGTTCTTTGAAACTTTCGTATGCTTGTGTGTCTATTAGTGCTTCTGAAATAATGTGATCAAACTTTCGGTCGAAGATGTTTAGTGTAAATATATATGGTGTCTTGATGAAAAATTTCTCAGTAATTTGTGGATTAGCGAGTCGATCGTCGTCTAAGAATTGATCTTGGTTAGCTCTGATGATGTTGTGATCATAGTATTCGAGTGTATATTCGTTAGCTCTAGGTGCAGTGTGTGTTTTTAGTGATTTTTTATATCCAACGTAAGTAAATTGTCTAGCGGTTAGTGGTGTAGTGAGTCGATATAGCATGTCCGTATTTCGCTCTATATCGATGTGAGTGTTAGATAAAGGTAAGCAAAGAGGGTTAGTAAAATGATAATATGAGGTCCAAGAGAGAGTGGGCATTAAAACGTATTCATCTACAAAGTTGCGTGTTTCGTTAGTGTCGTGGGGGTTGTTTAAGGTGTATTGTGGGAATGAGGGTAAGGTGATGGCTAAAAATTCTTTTGTGTTAGTATGCTTGGGGTGGTTGATGTATTCACGGGCTGTTCCTGGTTTTGCTGGGAAAGGATGGTTGGGGAACTTTCTTTTAAAAGTGCGGTAAGCTCTATTAGTGTTGAGTGAAGATTCAGTTGATGTGGATGATGGTGCTAATGATTCAGTATAATTTGAAGAGGGTGTAGGGGTAGGGGGGTTGGATGAATTGATTGTGGAGGAGATTTGGTTTATTGTTGGGGTATTAAGGTGGTAGGGTTGTTGTTGAAGGGTAATAAAATTATCTAGCTCTGGGGAGATTCGGGGGGTGTCTGGAGAATGAGATGATTGGTCAGAATGGTATGAGGAGTAGGTTGGGGTAACTTGGGAAGCATAAGAGGGTGTGGGGGTGATTGGGTCAGGGTTATTGGATAATATGGGTTGAAAAGGGGGTTGAGAAAAATTAGAAGAGTTATGAAAATTATTGGATGGGGATGGTTCTGAATCGGCAAATTCATCGGGGGTTTCAATATTTGGGTTATTGAGTTGTGAGATGGAATATAAAACTGAGATGTGTGAATTAGTGTCGGAATTCATGCCTGATGTTACATTACTAGGTGGAAAATCGGGTGGCGGAAAAGCAAAAAGTGGTATTATTGGGATTGGAGAGGTAAGATTGGTTGGGTGGGAATTTGATCGGTGTAGTGATCCAAGTTGGCGGCTCATCGTGGGCTAAAAAAATGATTATTTTGAGACTGAAAAGCGGTGGTATGGGGTTGTTCA